TACACTGTTTACTGCAGACTGAAGCATGACACGTTTTCCCCGGAGCTATGGAGGTTCATCTCTAGGCCGCTGTGGGTGAGCCTGTTTCTGAAATTGCCTGTGTGTAAGACTTCTTACAGTGACCTTGGTGTGCTGTCAAACCACACTGCTGCTATTCATTCCTGAGACCAAGTGGAGATAAAGCTAAGGTGATTAGTTCCAGAGGAGTCGCTGAGGCTTCTGGTTGGTTGGCATAAACTCTAAGTCATCTTCATGAAGCAGAAGTGACAGTCTTAGCTTATCCCTTTTAGGATGCTGGATTTTAGGATGCTGAATTTAAATATTTTATCTTCCTGAATAGTATGTTAAATGCTCTTTGGAGAAAAAGACTTTCCTCTGGAGTGGAAAGGCTTGGGTTGTATTCTTCCTTGATAGCTCATATCTTGCCATGTGCTAGTGAATATGCTTTGTCTTCCCATGATGTTTATATTGGTTTCTTAATGTCACAAGAACATTGTGAGCAAATGAAATCAATAGTATCATTACCTCAGAGAGAGAAGCTCTACCCTTCCTCCATTATGCCCCCGCCCAAATGTTAGCTGCACAATGAGGAGAACATTTATAATGGTAAATCTAGTTCAAGATTTTTATTTTATAGATATGATGGAGTGAGTAATATGTTAAGTCCTGCAGAAAATAACTATATTCCCTTCATTTCAGGATACTGTTCATTATAGGAAGGAAGGAGAAACTGAATTAAGTATTATATTATGAATGAAATATGCATACCAAGTTCATACTTCCTAAGTGCTTTTTAAAACAGGCAATTTGGGCCGGGCACAGTGGCTCATGCCTGTAATCCCAGCACTTTGCAAGGCTGAGGCGGGTGGATCACCTGAAGTCAGGGGTTCGAGACTAGCCTGACCAGTACGGAGAAACCCCATCTCTACTAAAAAATATAAAATTAGGCATGGTAGCTCATGACTGTAATCCCAGCTACTCAGGAGGCTGAGGCAGAAGAATCGCTTGAACCTGGGAGGTTGTGGTGAGCCAAGATCACACCCTTGTACTCCAACCTGGGCAATGAAAGCAAAATTCTGTCTCCAAATAAATAAATAAATAAATAAAGTAGGCAATTTGGATAGAGTCATAGCAGAAAGGAGTTGGAATCAGGTCACTGACCTTCCAAAGAAGCTTTATGCTACCCCAAGCCTTGATGGTTCTCAGATCGGCTCCAATGACAGGTCTCAATCTCCCTAGCAGGTCTCAAGAATACTGGGAGCAACCCAAACTCCCACTTGTGCCATGTATGTCCTTCAATCCCCATTCTGTTGGATGACAAGATTGCAAGTAGTCCTTCATCCCTCGTTTTACTTCAAGACCTTTAAGCCCATGCCCACGGCCCCTGCACTGAGCCGCTGCACAGAGCCCCCACATATCCCCTCTTCAGTTATGCCAGAGCATCTCAACCTAATTCTTACAAAACTCCAAAGACCAGCCCAGTGGTTTCCAAGCATAGTCATTCTTGATGTCCTAGCCCTCAAGTATGATTCCATATATCTGGGAAAAACCAATTCCATATATCTGGGATGGGGCCTGGAGTTCTATATTTGAACTCTTCTGGTGATTTTAATGTGGTTTTTCATCTGATCCCTATTAAGTGATCAATATATGCTTTATTAGTACTGTTCAAATTTATTGTACATACGAATCTCCTGGGGACCTGGTTAAAAGGCAGATTCTGATTCATTAGGTCTAGGGTAGGCCCTGGACTCTTCATATCTAACAAGCAAGACACCATGCCTTTTCTTACTTGGTTTAGAAAGCAGTATTGAACACCTCCCTCTTTGGTATTGTGTCAAGAAACCCATCACTGCATTAGAATGCCAGGTTTTAATATTTTATCCCCTTGAAAAGTTTCTACCTGTTTGGAGACAAAACAAGTGTTGCCAGCAGATCTGGGGAGAAGTGCCTGGACCTGCTCATCTTGCCCTTGGCTAGCCTGTTGTTTCCTTTACTGGACACTGCCAGATGGCCTTCATTATCGTGGCTGGAATCTGCCTCTGCCTCTACTTCCTGTTTCTATGCTTCATGGTATTTCAGGTGTTTCGGAACATCAGTGGGAAGCAGTCCAGCCTGCCAGCTATGAGCAAAGTCCGGCGGCTACACTATGAGGTGGGCAAATTTCTTGGCTCGCTCTAGAACTGATGTTTGCTTGATCTTTCTGCTTGATGTGTAAACACACACACCCCAGAGATAGAAAGCCTGTACTTTGAAATACACATTGAGAGGTTCTCATGTATGCTCTCTGGGCAAAATTAGAGGCCAAATCTGGCTCTGAGAAGCATCTAGCTGGCCTGTCTAAATCTTGGCGTTTTCTGTGGTATGAATGTGTTTCCATTCCCAGTAAGGAGTAAACTTGTTCAGCCGGTTCTTCAACTTGGTGGTGGAATGTAGGTGCATACAGATTGCACTATGGCAGAATTGGAATTTGGTTGGGATGAGGCTTTAGTCAAAGTTCTGTCCCAGGATCAACCCTGTCCTGTAATTAAACAGGGGCTAACCCAGGTGATCTGATTTCCAGACACTTAACAGCCCACATTCCCCTGAAATATCCAGCAGGTGCTCAGACAGAGTTCAGTAATCTCTGTTTATAGATTATGTTCCTCATATAAGAGAAAGACTTAACATCCTCAAATCCCCAGTGCAGGCAACACATCCTTGATTTTTCAGGGATTCCTTGGGTTCATGCCTAAGTGGCTGTCCTTGGAGAAAGAAGCCTAATTCCAGTATGAAAAGAGAAGCAGAAACTACAGAACCTTAGAGTTTTTATATGCAGTAGATCTGCACATAAGAGCCTTGAATAATAGGCCTCCCTCCTTGAAACACAGGTTCTCTTAAATCCTGCTCTCAGGAAACCACGGGCACTTTCTAAGGCTTGCCTGTCTCCAGAGCTGGAGTGACATGAGAAAATTCAACCAAATCCACTTCATGTTGATTAATATGCACATTTCTTTTTGTTCACTGGAGCAGAATTTTATTACAACCACAGAAAACTTGGATTTGGTAACTTTGAACCCTTGCAGAGAAGCATAACCAGCTTAGCAGGGAAATTAGCAGCCTCACGACGTGTTGTGAATATAATTTCCCAGGCTCTCGTATCGCCGCTGTGTGAGTGATACCAACATAGGAAATATTCAACCCAAGAAATTTTCAGCCACACTTACCTCTGCAGGAGAAATATTACTATGGGAAATCATGTTACTGTCATTCTTAGGGATTTGGTTTTACAGATTTCTTTAGAATTAAGCTTTTTATAGATTTACATAGTGAGAAAAGGGTTGGTAGCTGATAGAGTATTAAACTACTCTCTCTTTTCTAATAGGGGCTAATTTTTAGATTCAAGTTCCTCATGCTTATCACCTTGGCCTGTGCTGCCATGACTGTCATATTCTTCATCGTTAGTCAGGTAAGTAGACCCTGAGATGTTAAGGTGAGAATGTCTCTGGAGAGGTTCCTCTACCCTGCACAGAAATTCTATAGAGCTACTGAGGAAAGGAGCAGAGAGGACATAATTCTGGACAGCTGGTCAAGCCATATTTTTCTGGGTCTTGATATCACCTGGCCAAATAACTAAAGTTTCTCTTTCCACAAAACCTTGTAGGAGATAAAAGTTGCTAAATAAAGTAAAAGCCTGCAGCCAGATTGAAGGACACATATTTTACTTACTTATGAGAATAAATCTAGCAAGCCTTGTAGCACAACACTGACAAGCATAAGTTTGATTCTGTTTTTATCTCGCATTAATATAGATCCTTATACAGTCCGTCAGCTACTCTTTGTAATAATTATATTGCCACAAATATGAAACATAATTCAAAAGTCCCTTTGATAGCGTCTTGTCTTTTCACTGGTTCTTTCCAAAACTCAAAATTTTGCTATAGTTGAAAATATCAATAATGATAATTATTTAAAAATATTCATAACTTGTTTTGAAGGGTGGAAAATACTGTTTAAATCTGATGTATCTATTATTCATTTGAGCATCACAAAAATCCTACAAGGTAAGTAGGGCAGGAATTGTTATCCTAGCTTGCTAGAATATGATATTTAATAGCTTTAGAGAAAGTTTTCATTTATGCTGTTTTCTAGCTGGATAGGACTGTGGATGGATTACTTAACAGTTCTAAGGTTTAATTTTATTATCTGCAAAATAAATATAACAATAGGCCCATAGAAAGCTGCTGAGATGATCACAGGAAGTAATATTTACAAAGAGGGATGCATTCGGAGAAATGCATCGTTACGTGAGTTCCTCATCATAGAGTGTACTTACACAAACCTGGATGGTATAGCCTACTGCCTGCCTAGGCTATACGGTGTAGCCTATTGCTCCTGGGCTACAAACCTGTGTAGCATATTCCTGTATGGACTACTGTAGGCGATTGTAACACAATGGTGAGTATTTGTATATTCCAAACATCTAAACATAGAAAAATACAGTAAAAATATGGTATTATGATCTTACAGGCCCACCATCATAAATGTGATCTGTTGTTGACTGAGCCATCATCGTGCACCCAAATGTAATTAGCAGAGCACCTGGCACATTTGTAAGCATGAATATCTGTGTTCTGAATAGCAAGAAGACTGAATGTCTTTCTTGCCAAAGGACATGCAGTAAGTTAGAGATCAGAACCCGTTCCTTCTGACCCTTTTGCCAATGCTTTGTCATTTAGCCAAAATGGAGGATTTCAGTAGTGCAGATAGTACCTTAGAACATGACTTGCTCCATTCTGCTAGCAAGTTTCCCTAGTACAGGGAAAGCGTTTTTGTATATGGACTCCTTTAGCAACCTGATGAAGGCTGCGAGTCTCCTCTTAGAGTGTTTTCAAAAGAGTAAAATAAAATACTTTGAATTTCAAAGGGAATCATCATATATTATATGTAATACATATTTACAGGGAAACATGTTACAGGTGTATTACAGATTTATATTTACAACTGTAATTGATGTGAAAATATCCTAATGTCTATTGAAAATATCACAGATAGTACTAATACTACAGGGATTTTTCTACATTCATAATTGAAGTAAACACTATCTTTTAGTTAGAGACTAGCGAAAATAAAGATATAATTTTTTTTCTATTCTAATTTATGGACCCCTTGACTTCCATCCAAGGACACCCAAGGGGACTCCAAATTTGGAGCCTCTAGTGCCTTGCTATTGGCTGTGTCACTGGGGAGTGTTAGTGTTGCTAGCTCTGCTGAGGTTGAAATGAATATGGAAAAAATAAAACTGATACACATGTATGTCTTCATAAGTCCGGTTCATTACATCTGCTTTGACCTATAATACTGCTGTGTTTGTATCAGGTTGTTTGTTTATAAAACCTTGGAAACTTCACTTTCCACTCCACTTGCAGTAAAACTATTTCAAACTCTGAAAGAGATTTTTATTCTACCAGCAAAGGCTCACACATTCATATTCAAACAGGAGTGCGAGGCCTGACTTCTTCTGTGGCAGTTCCCTACTATGACCAACATGCTTTTCAGTTCCTCCAGTCCCAAAGTAGTACACGGTGATACTTGACACAGCCAGGTCTGCAAGGCTGAGATGGCACGGAGCACGGAGAAACAGAATCTCAAGGAAGATGGGTTGAGGCATAAAAGGCAGTTTCGTGATATGTTTTCAGGAAGGCAGAAAGAAAGGGCACTTTTGGTCCTAAGGCCTCACACAGGTCCTTCTGCTGGTTTGGGAAGCTGACATCATTCTCCCCACACTGTCACATGTATGTCTTGTGTCTTCTGAGTTCTTTCCACCTGAAGTCAAGAAGGACTGGTCCTGAAGCAGCTGCATGTTGCCAAGATTTAACCTTGTACATGTTTAATTAGTGTACTTCTTAAAGCAAAGGAAGCCATCTTCCAAGGAGCATAGTTTGTGGCTTTTCTTTAGAGAAAAAGATTAATATTCCATTGCCCCAGTATTTTCTAATACAGCTTCAGCCTGTGGCTGGCTTTTTATATCTGCTGTGACAGTCTGCCCAGAGTGGATTTCAACTCCGAGGGGGTAGCAATGAGGCCTTTTGAATTCCATTAGCTCCTCACATTCCTCCTGCTGGGTTTTTTTTTTTAAGATTTATTTATAGACATCTAAGACGTTTTCCGGCATAACTCTCAGTGTCCCAGGTACTGTATTAATATAGTCATCAGAGGATTTATTTTTTTAATGTCATTTTGGAATGTCAGAGCAATGAGCTCACCTGAAAGGAAACCTATTGGGTAACTTTTTGAAATGGATCCCAGCCTTAGGTAAAAGGAATGTATTAAAACCCCCATTATACTCCCGGGCTTGCTGTGGGAGAGCTTGCATTTAAGCCTCATGAAATATAATGCGAGGGGATCTCGCCAGGATATTGAAGCTCTGAGGCCAGGAATGAAAGGCGACGGGAAGCTGTGGAATGCAGTGACCTTGAGGCTTTGTAGCTGGGTACTGAGGTGCAGTCTTTTAATGCCTGCCATTTTAATGGCCTCAGTCATAGCAACCAAGAGATGGTACATCGCAGTCTGGTATTTCAGCCCCTTCCTTCTGGAAAAGAAAGAGGCGTTCCATTTAGAGGTGGCGGCAGTAGGGAACAGAAGTGCAGTGCAGGGGAGAAGGTCACCGACCTTCATTAAGGGGACCCCCAGGTGCCTGACATTCAGGTCAAGCCACATGCAGCAAACTCCCAGAGAGCCTGTCCCCAGCTCTTTTGTGTGTGTGTGATCACTTCATTCTGTTACTTACAGAGGAAATGTTTCCGGTAAGAGAGCCTGTGTCTGGGATTTGGAAATCTTGTTGTTAAGTGGAATGTTGGTTGTCAAGACTACTGGGTGTAAAGGGATTTGACCTTCACTTGGCTCCAGGGGTATAATTGGGTGGTTTCACACAAAAGTAAATTGTTCAAATGTAAAATCAGGAAAACAGGGACTTTTAGAAATAAGACTTATGTGAAGAGTGAGATTTGGGGATTTTTTGTGTGTGGGGGGTTGGTTTTGGCAGGGAAGGGCCAGGGCTACCAGATTTTTCTCTCAAAGTTAAAAGGCAGAGACTATTACCTCTGCCTTGGCATTAGAAAGATTTTGGATATACAAGGCTTGCTCTGTTGAGGCTGTTCATTGTGGTACATATTGGTGGGAATGTGCTCAGAGCTGAGGATGTCTCAGGCATGAATAATTGGGAGAGGAGAGGGAAAAACAATCCAGTCACCAAACAGTAGAGTTACACTATCTATACTGTTTATTTCTGCATTTCAACTCTTTGCCCACAGCAGGCAACACCACATTTGCAGACTGCACACTCAGTAGTATGTGTAATTCTGCAACTCCACTCTAAACAATGTGCATGTGTCCCAGAACAAGTATGAGATTAGAGCATAAGTCTGATATTTCCTGTCAGGCTTAGTTCTTATGTGCCTCTCATACTATGGGGATCTCATTGCAGTGGTTCTACTGTAAATTTTTATTTTGTTTATATATCTAGTTTATTTATGGCATACATTACTATGTCCAGGATATTCAGGGTCTACAGATTTGAATACACATACAAACCTGTATATGTATGCTCTATTAGTAATGTATATTATGAGCAATGAAGTGGATTTTCAAAGAGAATTTGACCTTACCCAATCACTGCCTCATGTGCTACCTTCAGAGACCAACCCCTGTTTAAGATAACATTCCTACTCTGTGTTGGATGATGGTTGTACCTTCTTTTGGAGTAAGAGCCATGACTTTCTGACTGAGCAATCTTGGGCAAGATATTGCATCTCTCTGTGCCACAATTTACCCATGTGCTGAATGGAAATATTACCTACCTACCTCACAGCGTTGTTATTAAGACTAAATAATGTGTTTCACGTATAGTGTTTAGTATTGTGTCTGGCACATCGTTAGCATTAAATAAATGTTTATCCTTGTGAATACAAAAGAATCTTAGCTTTGTGAATATTTTGTGTTAACCGGTTATTTTAAATGATAATAAATATAACAGAAAGTAATATTTTAAATGAATATGTAACACTTGTCACACGTTGGCATCTCCTCTCACTTTCAAAGTCAATTACGACTTACTGTGGACCGTAATACTTTCTCTTTACCTTTCAGTCAAGTACTTATTAAGAGTGGCTGTTTCCATCTCCACTTTGTACCTCCATATATTTGCCCCAGAGTCCCTATATATGCCTATACTTTTACCTCTGTTCATTCAACATACATCTGTTGAGCACCACTGTGTACCAGGCATGCAGGTTGGTGTTTTCTTAGACGGGTCAGTCATGTCAACCCTACCAAGAATCAATGTCACTAAAATAGTCAATACTATTTCCAACTTCTGTCCCAGGCAGTAGGGTCTCTTACTAGCCCTTCCCTGAGCTGAAGTGTCCACTGCCTTAAGAGAGTAGAAAAGATGCCATATTGCCATACTCTATCTTGCAGCTAGGATGGGTGACAGCCTAGCCTCCCCTCCTTAATCACATACAGAAATCTGTGTTATGACAGCAGGTACATGTATTTCTGGAAACTATCTTAATGCCTTCTTCTCTTTTCCATTACACGCAATAAAAATCATCATAAGATGCTCTAAGTGATACAGTTTTTGTAAAGTTAGTATATTCTGCACTTAAAAGTAAGAAGAGTGACATTTGGAGACATATCTAGAAGTCCTAAGTAGCTTGAATGCTGGCACATTGTCCTAAAATTAGTAATGGTCATGAAATCCTTCTTTGCCAAAAAACACTTCTGGGCATTTTGTATAAATTATTTTCCAAAATAAATAAGAGTTCATAATGGTGGTTTGTTTATGAGCCACAAAAAATGAAAAATTATGTATCACCAACACCAAACTAAAACTGGTAAGTCTATAATTGGTTAATGTGATTAACTGACACACCGGGTCTTTCAAAAGAAAATATCTATACTTAGACCTTAATTTGGTCTAGGGCCCCAGCAGGTTATGGAATATACAGAAGATACTGAATGAACACAAACCTACTGTATCCTAAACAGGCAGTGAAATTCACCTGCTAGTTAAAGGGTTTAACATTTCAATCTAGCCTACCATCTTACAATTTAAAAGTGGTTCCTAGAGATGGTTTATACAAAACAGCCTCATTCAGCTGTCAAAGGAACATTTATCCAGTGCTTTCTTCGGTTTCCATTTTAAGTGTCCTGCAGCAAGCAGACGTGGTCAAAATCGTTACATTTTTCTCAGAGCTGTCACAAATTAGTCATTCAGCTCAGCAGCTCTGTTGGCAGTTCTTAGTGTAATCCATATATCTTTAGGCAGCCCTTAAGACAATTACCAAGTCATTAACACAGACAAAAGCAGCTTCAAAACATCTCACAGAATTTCAAAGCATATGAAAGCTTCATAATTATCTTCATGAATGGCTTACTTCGAGGGACATTATAGAAATAACTAAGATTTACTGAGTGTTTACTGTATGCCAGGCAGTTTCTAGAAATATTTTTACTTAATTCTCTTCAGTAACCTTCAAGCTGTTATTTTACCCTTAAGGACACTGAACTTCTGAAGTTTGGATTCTTCAACTTACTTGTCTTACATTAAGCTGAATGAGTGGTAGACACTGGATTTGAATTAATTTATGGTGCATCGGGCCCCAAAGACATGGCAGCACAGGGAGGAGAACTGGTCTCTGCCTGCAGGGAATTTACATCTAGCTGGGAAGACAGACAGCAGAGGAGAAATTATAATTGTGATTAAGTGTTGGGCTCAAACACAGTTTGTTTAACTTAGGAATAGCAATAAATTGCTCTTTCTAGGAAGAGACACTCCCCAGGTGACACTAATACATAAGCAAGGTAAGAACCACTGATTGTGCCTGGCACAGAGAACCTTCAGTTGATCTTAATTTATACTGAAATGATTCAGATTAAAAGATGGAGTCTTACATGGTCCTTCACTTTTCTCATATGTAGAAGAGACTTGGTTTTCCTGTTGGTTGGTTCCTTTATTGGTGTTGTTTCATCTGTTTCTTCTCTGTTTCAATTGAATATTACCATCCTTTCTCCACAGGTAACGGAAGGCCACTGGAAATGGGGCGGTGTCACAGTCCAAGTGAACAGTGCCTTTTTCACCGGCATCTATGGAATGTGGAACCTGTACGTCTTTGCTCTGATGTTCTTGTATGCACCATCCCATAAAAACTATGGGGAAGACCAGTCCAACGGTGAGTTTCTGTCTCTTTAGCACAGCTTAAGTCAGGATAAATAGGCTTCTGTCTTTACAAGATTTAAATGGCTAAAGCTCTGAGATCCCAGTTCAACTTTCCAAGTACACTCTTCACACTGGGAGACAGTGAATGAGCACCCAAGGGACTCAGGGCTGTAAGACCAAAAACGCAAGCCAGATCTTTCCTTAAATTCTATTTTTAAGTCTCTAAAATACATTGAGAATATCGCATTCTAGTCTAAAATGTGTCTTGATTTTAGTACAAGAATCAAATTTGCTTCCCTTACATGTTTTAGCACAATTGAGTGATGTATGTATAAACCAATACCTGTTCTCTTGTCCCCAGAATCTTCCCATCCTTTCGTGCTGGTTTGTGCTGCCTTTTTACATCTTATAATCACAGAGCACTGAGACTTGCCTGCTGCAAATTGCCTTAGAGAATCTGGTCATTTTATAGATGAAGAAACTGAGGCCTAGAGAAGGGAAGATCTTGCCCGGGGTTTCTTCACTAGCCACAGCAGAGAAGAATGATCAATACTGTCTAGGCCAGTTAGCTGTCAACAGGTAGCAGGTGGCCTGATAAAGAACTGATCTAATAGATCCTTTTTCTATTTGGCTACAGCCTTATTCTTTATTCCTTCTCTTTTTACACCTGCTTTACTCTAGCCATGTACATGCTATTCCCCAAACACAGGATGCCCTTTCTCAAGTTAGTGCTCTAGTGCATTTCACTCTGCCTTGCAGTGGAAAGCAGGGTAGCAGCCCCCCAGAAGCAAAGGTTAGCCTCACTTTTGGGAAGTACTGAGTGTGTGTTGCATGAGTAGATTGCACATTCTGCCTCCATCTGGGTCTAGTGAAACTCTACTCATGTTTTGGGCCCAGTCAAAAGGCAGCATCCAGCATCATCTTTAACACCTATTCCTAGTCACCCCAATTAGAATCCAGCAAATCACATTCAATGGAATATTGTTTCCATGAAATGTTGATAAATTTAGGTAGTCAAACACATTTGAGAATGGTAGGGTTGATCAGCATGAATAAGGCTTTTCACTGGAAGACATCTTAATGCCTTTAGTACGTTAATTTGTACTGTCAGTCTTTAAAAGGGGTAGGGATAACAGCATTTTCCAAAATTATTCGATCATTTGGCCCTGGAACCCTTTCTTCAGGCAGTGCATCTTTTGAAACTATGTCCTAAGGAACATGCCTGGGGAATCGTGAGTCTACTTTCCACGTGGAATTCATTGCGTAGAGGTGGCAGATGAGTCGTCTGTGCCTTTATGTTCCTGCTGGATCATCGACTCCTTCAGGACAAAGACTAGTTCTGAAGGATCCTTTTAGAGTGAATTAACGCTTTA